CATGTGCGAGCGCTTCGCGTGGGCGGTCGCCGAAGACATTGTCTATTAATGGGGGGGGGGGGGGGCGCGGTCTTGGCAGTGATGACTTCAAGGCTGGGTTGGGTCTTTTGGGCCTCCCGAGCTCATGATATGGGATGGAGACTGAGCTACGGGATGTGCAGGGGTCAAGATCTGAGCCACTCGATGGAACGTGTAGTTGACAGCAAAACACAAGGACAAGCAGGCGTGCATCGTGGGGAGACATCGCGCTACTTTCCGGTGCCAATTTCAGTTTTGTCAGTGACAGCAGCAGGCGGACAACATTGCGGTGACCTGTGGACAGTTGTTCTCCCAAGTTGTATTGGCCGCGAACTCGCTGTTGCCAATCGCAATATGACCCGCTGCGCCATATCAAGGTATAACTCCACGGCTACTGGCTCAGGTCAAAGATGCCGCAGACGAGGCTCGCATGCTGGGCGAGCATGGAATTGGCGGTCTGCGGCGCGTTCGCCGATTCCGAGAGATATCGGTCGGAAGTGCCTTATCTGCGATGGCGGGGCGTCGTCCGCGATCGGCCGACAAGTCTCGAAAGCCGCTGGCGGGCGAGCAGCTGCGCGCGAGGAACGGCGTCCAGGCGGTGATTTTCAGGAAGCCTCCTCAGCAGGATCGGCCAGGATGGGTTGGACTCGCAGCAGCTGCGGGTCTGGCCGGGATGGAGACACCTGTGCAGATCTGCGTCAGCACAGCGACGTATGTGCTGGACGGGCTTCGTTGGCATTCCGAGGAAGCAGGTCGCGACGCTCGGATAGATGCATGCAGCGGCTGGATGGCAGCGGGCGCCAGATGCGATCAAGCCAGGTATGGCGCTTTATGCCATATTGGACGTTGCGCATAAACTGATGAAGATGCAGAGTTGCTTGGCTGGAGCGTGCGACCGCGGTGCATCGCGACTGTCGGACCAATGAGTGGGGGCGTTGGGTAGCGTGATGGTGTTTGGTTCGCAAGACAACGAGATGGATTGCAAATGCAGATTCACAGATGGAGGCCTGGGTCATAGGAGGCATACTTTTTTGTTCAGCTGTGTCTTCATGGTTCCACCGGTTGTAGATTGCAAGACGAGAAGAGCTTGGAGTGCCACCACTGGGCCCAGCGCATGCGGAGCAGCGCAGTAACTCGAGGGTGGTATTGTCCCCGATAACGACAATAGAGGCATCGGAACGTGGAGTCGGGGAAGAGCCCGAGGTTGCCGGAGACGATGGCGGAGATGTAGTGGATCGGGGGTTCTGGGTGACCTGGCAGGAGAAGCCGGGGGCAGATAACTAGTTTCACTTGAAGGCGTCCGCGGAGGAAGATGATGGAGCGTCGCGAGGTGCTTCTCTTCGCCTCCGGATACCAGCTATAACATGGACGGCGCGTTGTTGGGATGTGAGAATGTGTGTGTGTGTGTGTGTGCCTGCGCTGAGATGCAGCCCAGGTATCACTCGTGCCGATGGCGATATCCGCATGCTTGCCGAGCAATGCGAAGATCTTCGCCAGCAATTTTCCGCGACAGTCGCGATGTGGGTGAGGGTGCTAATGCGTGGCCCTACGGAGATTTAACTGCCAGTCGGCCTCGCTTACCTGAGTGGTCTTTCCTCAGAAGATGGCACGCGGCAAGGCGGATGCGCATGTGTTATGCGCGCGGGCAAGGCCGGCATCGAGAGAGAATTTATTTAGAACGTCAGAACTCATTCGATCATGGCTTCTTCCGACCGTGACCCGACAAATTATCCAGAGTTTGCCATGGCATCATTGTTGGTAGGGTTGCATCGATGGGTGCGCAAACAATTTACAAGGAAGCGCTTCAAGAATGACGCGCGGAATCGAGTAACCTTGAGATGTGTCCGCGTGGAAGGTGCAGGCCGACAGCGCGAGGATGATGAAGTGCTGGCTGGCGGAGCACGGTTTCAAAGTCCTGGGGCGTGGCCTTTCGGACAAGTCCAGTAGCGTGGCTAGCTCCTTGGGACAGAGAGCAGTAGACGCTGCCGCAGTTCAGGCATCACGGCTTGTCTTATCGCGGCGCAGCAGATTCGAGGTGGACCGCAGCGGCGGTCGAGGACGTGATAGGATTTAACTAGCCGGGAGCGCCATGCTGATATCGATCAAGGGTTTCGAGAGTTTCAATGGCGCAGTCGAATGCCTGGAAATGTACAAAGGAGGTCTCGGCTTGATTGGCGCACCGAACTTGTTCACTATGAAGGCGGACAAGGTGTTCAAGCAGGAGAGTATCATGCCGGCGATGTCCGATCCCAAGATTTATCTGAAACGGGGAAATTGCACATTCGCCTCGATGGTCCAGACGCACGTGGGCGACTACAGGGCCACGGGGGAGAAGCTGACCCTGGCGCTGTTCCACAAGCCGTGGCAGATCAATTTTGTTAGCGGTGTTCAGTTGAGCGCGGTGTTAAGCGGAGCATCGAGCAGTCTTTGATGCGCGAGGGCCCGTGGCATCAAGTGGCGGAGACTGGCGAGTGCATAGTATCAGATCAGTCCGATTACGCGGGTTGGATAAAGCCACTGGTTTCGAATTACTTCGGCGGGGACAAGGGTGCAGCCGCTGGACGGGAAGTTGAGCATTTGTTTCAAGATGTTGGGCACGCTGGCGTGGCTAATCCAAGCGAGAGTCGATATGTGAGCTCGCGCCAGAGGATTGCAAAGCAACCTGCCGTATAGGGCCCGTAGCGAATCAGCGCTTCATGCATGTCTGTAGATGGAAACGGGCATGAATTTGAGTATCGGAAAATTCGCCTGCTTGTTTCGCTGGTTGCTGTTTGGGGCGGCGAGTATGAAGCCTTGATTAGTGTTGTGACAGCAGTGGGTCCGCTAGCGATGCGATGATATATCGCACCACTTGCTCACTTGACCTAGGAATCTAGCACGCGTGGCATCCAGGTGCGAACCGGATCACGCATGCCGTGGTGTATGACGTGTTGAAATGCACAGCCAGTGCGGCTAGCCGGACCTGCCAGCGATAGTCATGTCTTTCTATGGGGATGAGCGTCTGTCAGCTGAGAGGATGAAGCTGGAGCTAGGCAAGCTGGGGGGTGTTCTGGTCGTGTCTCAAGCGGTGGAGTGTTTAGCTTCCTGGAAGCCGACCGTTTACAGTTCCCAGTTGATCAAGGCACGTTCCCTCCTCCAGCTAGATTCGAGAACGGTTAACCCGAACTTATATTCCTGGATCTAGAGACATGTGTGCCTACGGTTTGACATTGATGAAGAGATAGGTCAATAATCAGCTAGACAGGCGACCTTTGCACGCGCTGATGGAAACAAAGCGGAAGTTGCCGCGCGAGTGTGAGGTTCCGTTGCCAGAACTTATGCAGGATTGAGCTGCCTAGACCACGCTGAGGAAGAGTCAGGTCTCGGCTCTTCCCACTGCGCAGTGGATCTGTGATGGCATGGGACCACCCGCGCTTGATCTGCGGACTGAGTCCGCGGCTAGTAGTTCGTGTTGCGACCTGTTCTAAGCAAGGCCTCCTGAGTTTGACGAGTGGTGTTGCGCGCGCGAGAGCTGTGCACCGTCCGTGCCACTGGTGGTGGCACTCTTAACGTACATATGTTCGGCCGTCAGAGACTGTTCCGACCAGAGCCGGCTTGACAGAGCAGTGCACGTGAAAATGAGTCGAGTTCAGGGGCTTGTGTAGCATTTTGTAGCCTGTACGGCTGAAACTAAGCAGTTGGGAGCACATACTAACTATTGCGAACCATGGTAACAGTATCATAAGCAGCTACATCTATCACCGAAGAGGAAGGTCGATGTATTGCAGCTGATCGTGTCTCACTTCGTGAAGTTGCTGGCTCGTCTTCGCCAAACGCGCGAAGGAGGAAAAGGCCTTGATCGTCGACCGCCTTCCGGCCTTTCGAGGAAAAGGAGTTCTACCTTCAACTCTAGCCCCCCCCCCGCTGGCCATGTGTGCCGCGCTCCCCCCTGTGCCTGCTTACGTTCCTCAGGTTTCGTATTGCTTTTTGAGTTTTCCCCGCCGTGTGAACCGCGCTCTTCCCAGAAGCTGCGTTGGCCCGAATTCTTTCGTTTGGACCTCTTGTGGCCACAGTGTGCACGAACCTGTTCTATATATATATGTATGTATGTATATGTATGTGTTCATACATGTATATGCATCTATGCCTACGTTTGTGTATATACATAGTTCGATATATTGCAGCGTTGAGATACGTCGCATCCTTGTGGTTGGCCCACCATCTGCAAGTGCCGAAAATATACATCCACAACTCCGATGCCGTGCCGTTTGGCCACGGATGCGTTAAGTTTTCGGAATACGCCTTGGCGTACACCCTGGCGCATCACACGGATATGTCGTTTGAACGCAGTACCATGATCAGGGCTGGTTTCAGAGGAACTGGGTTGAATTGGCAGCACGGTCGCAGCCTCCGACCCATGCGAAACCGCGGTTTTCATGTTCGGCGCCGATGTGTGGCGCAGTCCCTACATTCCGGTGTCAGGGGGCGCGGTTGGGCGCGCCGAGGGTAAACATGAATTTATTCCATGAACAAGTTTACGCGCACGAAAGCTTGAGGAGCAGCTGCTTCAGGGGAGGGAGGAGGTGGTGGAGGAGGAGGGGGAGGAGAAGGGGGAGGAGGAGGAAGAGGAGGAGAAGGAGGGGAGGGAAGGTGTTGGGGGGTTCTAGGATGGACCCTGCGACAGTCTCAAGGGGGGGTGTCGGGAGTTGTGGGGGAGTTGTGGGGGAGGAGGAGGAGAAGGAAAACGACAAGGAGGAGGAGGAGGAGGAGGAGGAGGAGGAGGAGGAGGAGGAGGAGGAGGAGGAGGAGGAGGAATAGGAGGAGGAAGATGAAGAGGAGGATGAGGAGGGAAAGGACGAGGAGGAGGAGGAGGAGGAGGAGGAGGAGGAAGAAGGAAGAGGCGGAGAACGGCGCTCCACCTCCTCCTCCTCCACGTCCGCTCCCCCCCCCCCTCCCCGGGAGGGGAAGGGGGAAGGGGAGGAGTCTGGAGAGGAGGGCGACAGGAGCTTCGTCAGAGGGCTGCTGATGGCAGACCCGCGCCACCGCCTGGGCGGCACCGACTCCCGGAGAGTGAGGATGCACGGTTGGTTCCAGGAGGACTGCTCCTCCGTCCCCTTTTCCTTCTTCCCCTTCTCCTCCGTCCCCTTCTCCTTCCTGCTTCCTTCCTGCCTCCTTCCTGCTCCTCCTGCTTCCTTCCTGCTTCCTTCCTGCTTTCCTTCTCCTTCCTGCTCCTTCCTGCTTCCTTCCCGCTCCTCCGTCCCCTTCTCCTTCCTGCTTCTGCCGCCTGCTGCCTGCTCCTTTATCTTCTCCTGCCAGAGCCCTCTGGCGCCCTGGCTCCCCTAGACCCCGCCAGGGCATCTTCAGGTATTCTCCAGCCTTTTTTTTTTTCCTTGAAGATCACTCGTCCCTGCCGCGCCCCAAGGCGTGTCGGCAGAGCGGGCCGGTCGTTTCGCCCGAGATCGCCTCACCTTTGATTATTCTCCTCCTCTTCCTCCGCCTCGTCCTGGGAGGAGGGCTTCAGCTTCGACGCCGTCGTCTCCAGCGCGGTGGAGGCGCCGTGGGTCCCGCACGTGGAGGAGCCCGTGGAGGACTCCGACCTGGCCGCCGCGAGCGACCGCCACGAGTGCGACGACGTGTTCGAGCGGATCGAGGACGGCGAGGGGAGGGGGGAGGGACCCGGGGAGAGGAGGGTTCAGAGAGGGAAGAGATGTCGGCACCAGTGCCCCGCCCTCGTCGTCACGGCTGGATTCGCTGGGAAGTCAGGGTCAGAACGCACCCTGGGTAGAGGTCTGGCGAGTAGCGACCTTGGATTTTGGTGTTTCCCCGCATGGTACTGACAGGGGAAGGGGCGGGGAAGGATGAGGAGGGAAACAAAGAGGATGATGATGATGATGCTGATGATGATGATGCTGATGCTGCTGATGATGATGATGATGATGATGATGATGATGCTGAGGAGGAGGAAGAGGAGGAGGAGGAGGAGGAAGAGGAGGAGGAAGAGGAGGAGAAAGAGAAGGAGAAAATGGGAAGAGGACGCGGAGGGCGATGATGTGGTTGTTTTTGCTGATGATGGTGATGAGGATGAGAACGAGGATGAGGATCAGGATGATGCTGATGACGATGATGCTGCTGCTGCTGCTGCTGATGATGATGATGATGATGATGATGATGATGATGATGATGGTGGCGATGCTGATGGTGGTGATGAGGATGCTGATGATGTTGAGGCTGGGGCTGAGGCTGAGGCTGATGCCGATACTGATGCTGATGCTGATGCGGATGCTGATGACGATGACGATGATGTTGATGATGCTGATGCTGATGCTGACGCTGATGCTGATGATGATGCTGCTGATGATGATGCTGAGTCTTAGTATTACTATTATTATTATTAGTTTTATTATTGATCTTATTATTGTTCCTCTTATTATGAGGATGCTGCTGCTGATGATGCTGATGATGATGCTGATGCTTATGATGATGCTGATGATGATGATGATGTTGATGATGATGATGATGATGATGATGATGATGATGATGACGATGATGGTGGCGATAATGATGCTTCTGATAATGATGATGACGAGGAGGAGGAGGAGGAGGACGACGAAGGAGGAAGTGCAGGGGAACGAGGGATCGAAGACCGGGGACCGAAGGCCAACATGTCTGGACGCCGCCCGGCCTCCGGCCGCTCCTCCTGGCCCCCTTGCAGACCTCCCGGGGCGGAGGAGGAGTTTTCTTCCTTGCTTCTTAAGCTGTGCCCTCCAGAGACCTGGAGCCAAGGGCGCCCTCGAGGGCGTGAAGTTACTCGCGCTTCGCGCTTCGCGGTTCGGCTCCGACTCCTCTTTATCCTCCTCTCCTCCCCCGTGAGGCGGCGCGAGAGCGCGAAGTTATTCGCGCTTCGCGCTTCGCGCTGCGCGAAGTGCGAAGTTGGGAGCCCTTGGTGACGCTGTGCCCTCCAGAGACCTCCTGGAGCAGGAGGAGGATCATCGAGCGCGTTCCACTACCCGCAAAGGGCCTACTCGCAAACGTCCGAACAGCAACACGGCTCCCTTCACGTAGCGGATCGTAAATCCCGCGTGGCAGATCCAGGCCATGTCGCGAGTAGCCCTTTTGCGAGCAGTGGGACGCGCTCGCCCAGGAGGGGGAGGAGAAGTAGGGGGAAGTGGAACATGTCGAGGATGTTTTTTTCCCCCCTTTTTTTCTCACAGGCTGTTATGGAGGAGCAGGAGCATGAGAAGGCACAGGAAAGACCAGCCGCGGAAATAGCAGAGGACAGCCAGTGGGGCACTGCGTGCTGCACCGTCGTAGACGGCGTGTTCACCGCGAAGAGGCCCGAAGCCTTCGCGGTCACGAAGGGGTCCAAGGCCAGAGGGGTCGTTGGAACATGGCGCCGTGGTGTTGTGGGCAGGGCACGTCGTGGGCGACGTCTCCCTCCCCCGTCTCGATCTTTCCCTCGCCACTGACCCTGCACTCTGCGCCGATGGCGTCCGTCGCCGCACCATGTCGACGTGGAGCCGATACCTTCGGGGCGGGCCAGCGCTCGCTTGACAAGACCATCGATGGCCTCCTCCCAGCTCCTCCCGCACTCCCAGCGTCTTTCCCGAGCCATGAGTGGTGGAGCCCTCCGAAGGCCGTGCGCATCACCAAGGCCAAGGGCGGCGTGAAGGGCGTGGTGCGTTTCGGCCTCACGCCGGACAGCAACGACAGCCAGCATTTCGAGAAGGCGCGCTCTCCTCCTCGTCGTCGTCGCTCTCCTCCTCGTCGTCCTCCTCCTCCTCCTCCTCCTCTGTCTTCTGTTCTCTTTGCGAGAAGGGCTTCTCCGTTGCGATGCTTCCGGGCCTCCCGCAGAGCCATGTGGACAGCACCACGGCCAAGTTCCCAGCGAGCACGGAGGACGAGCTGTCGCTCTGCATAGAAGGCGATCAGGTGACGGTGTACCAGGCTGGCCAGAAGGTCTTCACGCTGGGGAAGACCGGGCGGCGGTGCATGTTCGCCAAGGTGTTCTTTAGCCAGGCCGTCGCCATCCGGTCATTCGAGGAGCCAGCAAGCGAAAACGACCAGTGGGAGCAGAACTTCAAGCTTCCCGACTGCACGCAGCGACTGATAGACCAGCGGTGGGACGGCCCCAAACCCCTCCAGAGGCCTAGAGGGGACAGAGAAAAGCCCACAGAAGCTCAAAGCCTCCTCCTTCTCCTTCTCCCAGGGTCCGTCTCGATCCGATCGATCCGTTCGGTATCGATTTCGGCGGGCCCGATCCGATTCGATTCCGATCTCCCGGCGATCCGATGCGGCCCGTTACCTGCACGGCGCTCTTGTGCATCCTGGCCCGGCCGATCCACCTCGATTTCGCCTCCGTCCGACGAAGGCATCTATACACCACCACCGTGCTAGGCCAGGGCCATCCTGGGTTCCAGGATGGTGTATAGACCCTCCTGGCCTCGGCCAGGATGCCGTGTACACCATGCCAGGGCCAAGGTGGCCCTGGCCTGGCACGGTGGTGGTGTATCGATGCCTTCTGCGTACTCCGCGCTGGTGCAGCCCGATCCGACGCGCACTCGGATCCGATGTTTCCCCGCTTGATGCCGGCTCCTCCTGCCGCCAGGGACGCGAGGTCCGCCTCGGCGCCCGCGCTGTCGCCGCGGAGGGCCGCCGGGGCGAGCTCGCCCGTTGCCTCTCTCAGACGGCACGCGGCGACGTCGCCAACGGCTGCGGCCGACGGAGGCGCCGCGGTGCGGAAGTCCCAAAGCTGGGCGGTGACCACACCTTCCAGAGCAATCTACATACGAACGTCGCACCGCACGTGCGTCGCTTCAGAATGCGTTGGTGTATTCCCATCGCACCGCGAAGCCTTGTTGGCATCATGCCCCACTCACCCACTGTGTCGGGGGCTGCGCGCCCGAAGGGCCAGCGGGGGGTCCACGAACAGCCAGACGATCGTGTCATCGACGTCGACATGGATGGTCCTGGGCTTCTTGGTGGTTCGCGTGGCTCAGGGGCAACGTTGGCGGGGTATCGGAGGTTGGGGGGTGAGATCGAAGTGAAACGGAGAGCCCCCCACCAGGAAATCGGTTTCGGTGTCGGATTCGTGCCGTGCGTGCGGGCGAGGCGAAGCTGCGTGGGCGGGCGAGGGGAATGACTCCGCTGTGGCCAGGGCGGGGCAGGAGTTGTTGACCGATCCGCCCCCTGGTGGGCGGGCGGTTCCGGGCGGTGTCCCGCCGCGGTGTCCCGCCGCGGTGACCCGTCAGGCGTCCCGTCGGTGTCCCGCCGCGGCGTCCCATCGGTGTCCAATCGGTGCCCTGTCAGTGTCCCGTCGGTGTCCCGTCGGTATCCCGTCTGTGTCCCGTCGGTGTTCCGTCGGTGTTCCGTCGGTGTTCCGTCGGTGTTCCGTCGGTGTCCCGTCGGTGTCCCGTCGGTGTCCCGTCGGTGTCCCGCCGTGGTGTCCCGTCGGTTTCCCGTTGGTGCCCCGTTGGTGTCCCGTCGGTGTTCCGTCGGTGTCCCGTCGGTGTCCCGTCGGTGTCTCGTTATTGCCCCGTCGGTGTTCCGTCGATGGCCCGTCGGTGTCCTGGTGTCCCGTCGGTGTCCTGCTATTGCCTCGTCGGTATCCCGTCGGTGTCCCGTCGGTGTGTTGTTGGTGTCTCGTCTGTGTCCCGTCAATATCCCGTCGGTGTCCCGTGGTGAGATCGATCGTGAGATCCATAGTGAGACCGACTGTGAGAGCGACAGTAACATAAGAGCGATAGTAACATCGATAGTGAGAACAATTGCGATGTCGACAGTGAGATCGATTGTGAGATCCATTGGTGTCCCGTTCGGTGTCCCGTTCGGTGTCCCGTCATTGTCCCGTCGGTGTCATATGGTGTCTCCTGGTGAGATCGACAGATTGATGGTGAGACTGGGCAGTGAGACCGATACCCAGATCGATCGTGAACCCCCGACGTCGTTACTTTTTCACAACGTCGACCCCCAAAGATCTCGATCCACTCCCCAGGACAGGTTTGTCATCCTGAGTCGTTTTTTGGTGGTCCCGAGGCCGCGTAGGGGTCCCCAGAGGCCGAACATAGATACAATTGTCATTAGTCATTCGAGTAGGGGACCGACTACAGAGTCGATTTGCCCCCGAAGTGATCTGTTTGTCGAATCTTCGAACCTGGGGGTTTGGGGAAGGGAAGGGAGGGAGGCTGTTTCTGCCGCAGCTGCTGCGGTTGTTGCTGCTTCTCCTTCCCGATTTCGCCGTCCCGTCTCTTCTCCCCCGCCCACCCTCTCCCTCCTCCACTGCTCTTCTTTGCGCAGCCTGTTGCTCCGAGGTGTCGACCCCCAGGGCACTGCCTTGCGATGCGCTGCGCATCAGTAGACGACGCTTGCCCCGGACCAACGAAACAAATGCGCGCAGAATGGTCCGCAGATCTGCGGCGCATTCTCCGCGCACTCTCTCCGTATAGGCTCGACGGGCAAACTCCGATCCTGCGCCCCTCGTGGCCCGAGGGGGCCTCGGGGCCGCTGCTGCCCCCGGGGGGCCTCGGGGCGCCAGAGGCGGGGGGGGCACGGCCAACGGGGCACGGGGGCACGCCGCTGCCCACGTCTGGCTCTCGGCTCCCGTTGCGGGGGGGGGGCCCGGGCGCCGCAGGCGGGGGCGACGGCGAACGGGGGCACACGACACGAGCGGCGCCACAACAACGGGGTCGTCTGCGCCGACGT